TAATGCTTGAGTTAACTGCAATTGAATTGACTCAGAAGCGTCCATTTTGTTCTTTTCTTATTCCAGAAAGGCAGGGTCCTTTTTAACTGCTCAGATGGTGGTCCTTGCAGCCTTCCATATTCCCGCCTTATCAATTCTGGCAAAAGCAGGTCATTTAAAGCTATTGTAACAATGCCCCTTTTTCTCAAATTTTCGCAAAGAACAAAAAGAAAATTCTTTGTAAGTGATGCATCCCATGGAGAGCACAGAGCAGGCTGGCAAAATCTCTCTTCTGTTCTGTTGTACTTATCATTATCATTAAAGAAAAGAAGAAACAGGGGTGACGTGATAGTAGTGTTCCAGTATTTGAGGGGCTACCACAAAGAAGACGGGGGTCACGTTATTCACCAAGAAATAAGGATTGGAAACTGATCAAAGAGAGGAGCAACATGGAATTAAGAAACTTCCTGACAGTGAGGACAATTAACCAGTGGAACAGCTTGCCTCCAGAAATCGTGGGCGCTCCATCACTGGAGGTTTTTAAGAAGAGACTGGACAGTCACTTGTCTGAAATGGTATAGGTTCTCCTGCTTGAGCAGGGGGCTAGACTAGAAGACTTCCATGGTCCCTTCCAGCTCTATTCTATTCTATTCTATTCTATTCTATTCTATTCTATTCTATTCTATTCTATTCTATTCTATTCTATTCTATTCTATTCTATGAAAACATTATCATTTGATGAAACGGTAACAGTCCATTTTCAATATTTCCAATCAGGAAGGAATATTTTTTTCCTGCTTTCACCCTGTCTCCCACTCACAACAATCTCTTTTGCTTCAGCTCTTGAACCATCAAGTAGACGGCTTAGTTTAAGGCTGTTCATTGATTTTCTGCATTTATGTACACATAATTGTTCTAGCAATTCTTCCAACTGAAGAATCATTGAATCATAGACCTGGAGTTCTTCTAGTCTAACCTATGCCCAAGGCAGAAGGCCTTATTCCAGGGGTGGTGAACCTATGGCACGCATGCCAGAGGCGGCACTCAGAGCCCTCTCTGTGGGCACGCGCGCCATGCTCCAGAGATGGCAACCGTCCCTCTTCAACCAGTCACCTGCTAACTCGCCGAGGTCCCATGTGGCTGGATGCATCCCAGCACGGCTGGTTTCCCTCCCCCCCATCCCATCCCTCCTGGGCTCACATGCTTTCTTTTTCCTGGACACGACCCACTGCATCGCCTCCTCAACTGTCGGCCATCCGTCCAGCTGAGAGGCAGCTTCTCTGAACTGCTGGCAGCGGGCTGCGGAGCCCCAGAGTGCACCGGTCGAGGGGCCGGCAGGCTGTGGCTGCTGACACACACTGTCAGCCCCAATGTGCTCGCTGGCCTGTGTGCGGGGGGCGATAGTGTCAGGCAGCAGCTGCCCCGGCCCCTGCCTCGCCTTGCCCCGCAGCAGTGGCACCCCCACCCTGCCTCACCTCACCATGCAGGACGAACCTCCTGCCCACCGCTCCACCTGCCAGAGAGCCCCTGGATCTCCCCCAAACCTGCCCAGCCCCAACAGGCATCCCTCCCCACAAGCAACATCGAGGTGACCATGCCCATCTTGGCCACACCCACTCAGTCTGCCATGACCACCACAGCCACGCCCACCCAGTGGGCCATGCCCACCCAGCACCTGGCGATAAATAAGTGGGTTTTGGGTTGCAGTTTGGACACTCGGTCTCTAAAAGGTTCGCCATCGCTGCCTTATTCCATCCTGGACAAATGTTTGTCCCATCTTTTCTTGAAAACCTCCAGCAACGAAACACCCACAACTCTGTGAGACAAGCCATTCCATTGATTAATTGTTCTCACGGACAAGAAATTTCTCCTTACTTCTATGTTGGATCTCTCTTTAATGAGCTTCCACCCATTGCTTCTTGTCCTGCCCTGAGATGCTTTGGAGAATAAGTCAACCGTTCTCTTTTGTGTGTGCTCTATCTGCTGCAGTGCAAGGAAAGAAAAGAGTGTTCTAGAACTCAACAGCGAGGTGCCTACAAGAAAGACCCCTCGTAAGCAGTAATCTACATCTTAGAGTGACTGGGGATGATCCACATCCTCGCCTCAGTAGGGACAGGAACCAGAACAAAAGATCAGAACTGAACAGGCAGCCAAGACTGAGACCAAGAAGTAGAATTCAAGAGAAGTGGAACACCAAAGTTAAGATTTAAGAGTTTCACTGGAAACTACCAAAACAAGACCAGCAGGTGGATTTACTTGGAATCTCAGACAATTCTACCTCAATGCATAGATTATGAGAAATAAAGATAGAGAATAGAGATCTTAACTTAGGAAGATAAATCTGACGTGATGATCATCACTGAAACTTGGTGAAATGTCACTCTATGATTAACACACGGCGGTACTGGAAGACTACAACTTACTCAAAATGAATAGAATCAGTAGAAAGGGCAGAGAGATTGCATAGACATTTGAGTACCAAAAACAATTTGGGGGGTATATTTTTTCTTTTGCCACAGGAAATATTAACTCTTGTGCTTCTCTGGATGGAAGTGTAATATTGCAACAAGTACAGCTAATCATTGGGTTATAACACAATTAGAACCAGACTTTCTGTTGCTAAGCAATGTGATTGTAATGCATGACACTGTACAATCAAATTGCTTAGTGATGGAAATCTCTGCAGTCCTGGTTGCCATTATAATCCCAGGACTTTGTGGGTCCTTAAGTGAGGACCTGTGTAAGTCATTAAGTAAGGACTTCATTAAGTGAAGATTATGATGTGGGAGGAAGCAGGAATTCTAAGCAAGCCAGACTGGTGGGTGAGAGGTACAGGTCAAAAGTAAAAAAAATGACATTGTTCCCTGCTCTGTCCAATGACTAACGAATATTTAGGACACAAATATAAATTAATCTGTTAAAAATCTCAGTAGGATGAAAGGTTGAGATTAAAAAAAAAGATAAACTCTCATCTTGTTTATCATATGTCCTCAAACAACTGTCATGATACAAAGGTTATACATTTCAAGCACACACACAAATTTGTCAAAGCTTCAATTTTAGAGGATTTCAAATGCCCAGAATTAGAGATAAAAAAGAAAATGTCAAAATCAATACCTTTATTTGCCTCTGACAAATATGGGTAGCATTGTAGGTAAAAACTTTGGATACTTTCTAGAATTCTTAGAAGAGTCTTCCTTGGAGGATTTTAAAAACCAAGAATCGTTAACCTCTAAACATCTGCAAGGAGCCAACACAAAAGAGCCAAATATTTGATGCTGTTATGTCCCACTATTTCTTAACCTCAGCAACTTTAAGCTGCACGAACTACAATTCCCAGAATTCCCAGTTTGAGAAACATTGCTATAAGCAATCGTATCTGAATCCTTTCACCAAACAAATATGAAGAATTCTATCAGAGGCAAAACCGGACATCCCTCCCATGATCTGGAACCTGTTTTGCATGCAAATGTTTAGATTTGGAACAATTTAGGATGCTGCTTAAAATAATTTGTTCTTTATGCTGAAAGTCTGTTCAGGAACCAGATGGAGAATGTGCAGACTTTTCTAATCATTCACAAGCTTTCTGAAGAGTGAATATTTAATAGTGATAAACATTTTCAGGAACAAGATATGGTGTATCAAGCTGGTTTTACTGGTAAAGTTTCAGAAAGTGATTTTTAAAATTAGTAATAGAATACTTTATATAACATACAGAATTCCTGCATTCTAATAGCTTACATCTGTGTTTCTCAACCTCAGCAACATTTAAGATGCTGGCTGGAAAATTCTGGGAGTTGAAGTCTAGACATCTTAAAGTTGCCACTGTTGAGAAACATAGGATTTAATTAAGCCATAAAGACGTCACCAACTCATCAAGGTGTTTTTAAACTGCAAATAGTGAAAATGGGAACCTGAATAGCCTCTAATCACATCACTCTTCAAAGATTGCAAAAACAGAGCAAGGAAAAAATTACAACCAAAAAGTTGGGATTTCTAAAACATTTATATTGAACACTGGTTCCAAAACCAAACAATCAGGTCAACCTCTTTGCAATACCTGTAGGATCTTTTCAGCATCCTCTCAGAGGAGGCCAGCTGCAAGTGTCCAATTCTTCCCCCCTTTTAAAACAGACATATATGAACTTGGAAAGTCCGGTTTTTTTCCTTCTGGTTTGGCAAAGATGTTGCTCCAACCCAGGTTACAAGTCCTTAAGATATTCTGCAGATCTCAGTTCCCAGGTGTGTGTTAAAACAGCCAGGTTATTTTAACCTCTACAAGTTAATGAAGTGACAAGGGCTGAGTTTGAATATTCTGCTGAAGCCGTAGCTGGTTAATATCCAGTGTGAATGCAGCCCTTGCCTGGGACAATTGACCCCCCTGCAAGTGTTTTCCTCTTGAACCTATAGGAACACCCCCTTCTCTCATCTCATGCTCCTTTACAGATAGTCCTCGATTTACACCAACAGTTCATTTAGTAACCGTTCAAAGTTACAACGGCACTGAAAAAGGTGACTTATGACCATTTTTTACACTTAGGACTGCTGCAGCATCCCCACAGTCATGTGATCAAAATTCAGAAGCTTGACAACTGACTCATATTTATGACGGCTGCAGTGTCCCGAGGTCATGCGATCCTCTTTTGCGACAAGTCAAGTCAATGGGGAAGCCAGATTCACTTAACAACTGCGTTACTGTGCAATGATTCACTTTAACAGCTGCGGCAAGGAAGGTGGTAAAATGGTGCAAAACTCATTTTACAAATGTCTCACTTAACAACATAAATTCAGGACTCAATTGTGGTCGTAAGTCGGGACAGGGATTTGCATCCGTGGAAGAATAGTTAGAAAGGCAGTGTCGGGAGCGTCTTTGTATCATTTTCCCGCAAAGCAGCACCCTCATAGGGGGAAAAAAATGATTAAGTCATTAATTTCTCGCCCCTCCCCGTCCTCCACCCCCAGATAGGGCAAGGATGATCTCCAGCAAACCGACCCTCCACTTCTTTGATAGAGCCACTCACCCCTCTCCAACTCGCGTTTGCGTTTCTCCAACACCCGGCCAAGTCCCGACGGCTGAGCTTGGAAATCCACCCCCTACTTCGGGCTCTTTCTCGGCTCTCACCTCGACAGACGTCTCGGACAGCCCGGTTACTTGCTGAGCGTCCTTCTTTCCCGGGGATCCAGGAGCAGAAGATGGAAAAGCTGCGCTGAGGATCCGCCGGGAGGCAGCGCTGCCCGCCCGTCCGCCCCTGCAAGCGACCTTTAGAGAAGTACCGCAGAGCGCGCGGGGCGAGGGGGCGGCTGTCTCAGAGAGCTCCAGAGAAAGGGCGATCCAGGGCGGGAATGAGATCCAAGCGGAGTTTATAACCGCCTCTGCCGAGAGCGCGGTGCTTGCAAAGCGCAGCAACCTGGCTTTTTTTTAATATATATATAAAGCAGGCTCGGCGGCGACACCTGCCGGCCGTCGGCCTGCACTGCAGAGCGGGAGACGGCGAGATGCGGCCCGAGGCGAAGGTGGTGGCACGTGGCGCATGCCGAAATTTTGCACGCAACGCGCAAACGGACACACACGCGAACAGCCTGCCATCCTGCACGCAACGCACGCGCGCGAACAACCTGAAAAGTTGCGCTCGTACTCAAGGGTGGCCGATCTCTCCGTCCTGCGCACGGACGGCTGGTGGCCTTTTGGCTCTTGGCGAGTAACGGCACTCAGCACCGCCAGCCTGGGAAAACCGGATCCTTTTTTCTCACCGCAGCTCCGACGCAGGCAGGCTAGGCCAGCGCGGGCGACGACGCTTCGGGTGACTTTTGCCTGGCTCCCGGGCTGCGGAGGCGAAGGGGGGGGGGATGTCCTGGTGCCGGTGGCCGTTCGGTTCTCGCCCCTTCTCAGGTAAAGGTTTCCCAGCCGAGGATGATGGGAGGGGAAGTCCAAGGTATCCGGAGGGCACCAACTTGAGGAAGGACCGTGTCACGCGTGGGAGATGAGCCTTCAAGGTCGCTTCCGCGGCGTGCCAGATCTGCGGATTTCATCGCCTCGTTATGCGATTGAGTAACGCTCGTTGAAAGATGGTGCTTGTTGCTTAACTTTTTATTGCAGGGTTGAGCTGACAGGCAAATAAAACACTCTCGTTTCCTTAGCCTTTCGGCATACAAAAAACACATTGTATTGTCTTTCTGTTCTCCGGTACTTTTAATCCTTTTAATACAGGGGAACGTTCCCACAGCAGACCGTGGCAAGCCCACATTTGCCATAAACACAAATGGGTTGAACTGGAATCTGGCAGTTCCAGGTTCATGTCCCCCATCAGCCATGCAAGGCCCTGGTTGACTTTGAGTGCAGCATATTCTTTCAGCCTAATTTATCTTAGGGTTGTTGTGAGGATAAAATTGGAGGTGGGAGTTAGAGTCCCTTTTAATCAGGGTTCTTCATGACTTGTGGACTTCAACTCCCAGAATTCCTCAGCCAGTATGCCTGGCGGAGGAATTCTGGGAGTTGAAGTCCACAAGTCATAAAAGGGCCAAGTTTGAAGACCCCTGCTTTTAATGAAATACTGAGCAGGAATGGAAGAATCTCCATTCAAACCCCAGTTATAACCAGTCTCTGCTCTCTGACAAATGTGTGGTTTCTCTTTTAAATTAGTATCCCTTCATTATATGCTTGAATTACATTCAACACTACTAAGTGTGTGACAGACACCAGATCTGTCTGGTGGTTCCTCTAAACTTTCTGAACGGAATTAGGTGTGTGTGTGTTCATTCCTTGTCTATAGATCTGTGTGTTCATCTACAGAAGATGTAGAATAATGTTCTGCACAGGATCTGCACATATTAGCAGGTTTCCATGTTGCGTGCACCATATTGTGTGGCCTCTTGGGGTCTTTGTTAGTATACAAAGATACACACATGGTTGAAGTGTTTATCTAATGCCAACTGATAAATATCTGAGTGGGGTTCTCCTTATAGAAAGGACTGGGGCCATCTCCACCTGAGACCTTTGTCTCATTCGAAGATCAGTTCTGAACCTCTATGGCAGGGGTCTCCAATCTTGACAGCTTTAAGACTTATGGATTTCAACTCCCAGAATTCCTCAGGCAGCATGGCTGGCTGAGGAATTCTGGGAGTTGAAGTCCACAAGTCTTAAAGCTGCCAAGTTTAAAGATCCCTGATCTATGGTCTAACACCCTAATCTGCATTTTCAGCCTCTGATTTGATTTCTCTTTGGCTCTGATATGGTCAGTCTGGCACTATATAAAACGGAGGTCTTCAAACTTGGCCCTTTTATGACTTGTGGACTTCAACTCCCAGAATTCCTCAGCCAGGCCAAGGGCTGGGCCAAGTTTGAAGACCCCCTGATATAAAAGGTGGGATTTCTGAAGCTCTGCAGAGCTGGTGAGGGCTGTTTTCCCACACAAGGGGATTTTGCACACACCAACTATCTGAGCTGCAAGCCAGCTTCTTCTCCCAAGGTTTGACCACCATGGAGTTATTGCAAGAATGTTTTCCATGCAGTACTGTAGGAAGAAGCTGCTAAGGTGCCTTTGTATCTCCCTATCTCATAGAAAGGGAGCTTGAAGATTCTTGAATACAGAATCGGTTTTTCCTTTTCTTTGATAGTGTACCCTATCTGGAGACCTTTTGGACTGGGATAGGTTTATCAATGCTGCAAACAAATGACTAAAATTGTAAACACCCCCTCCCTTTTTTAAGCACTAGGCAGTGCATACAAGGTAATCTAAACCAGCATTTTAACTTCACAAGTTTAAGATGTATGGACTTCAACTCTCAGAATCCCACAGCCAGCATCTTAAAGTTCTGATGTCTAACTTAACCAAAGTGGCTCTCACTAGTTTGGTGCTTATAGCACTTCATAGTTCTGTACCCCATTTCTTCAGATTCATTCAGAGGAAGGAGAAATTCTCCAGCCTGCTTCTCTCAAGAATAAAAGTAGGAACTTTAATATTTAATGGAAGCCATGGCGGCTGTGGACCATTGGAGAGAGAGTTGTCCTATGAAGGACAAGTAATTCCCTAATGAAGTGCAAGGACATTCCTCATGAGAAGTCTCCAGAATTCTGTTCCTTCTTGAAATCTGAGAGAATTTGAGGGTGTAAATCAGTGCATTAAATATTAGGTTGGCAGCAAGGAGAACAAGCCTTATCCAGCTTCAACCACAGAAGATCCATGAGTGATTTTGGCCCCCTCATCTTTTTACTCACCAAACTCACAAGGTGAGTAGTAGGGGAAATGGGTGAAGGGAATAGAATGAATGAGAGGGCTACATATTAAATAAATAAATGAAGATAACCTTTTACCAAACAGAATACAGAGAGGAAAAAAAATAAGAACATTCCTTGCATTGCAGTTGTAGGAGGTTATTGTGTTTATTTTATTTGTTTCCGTCTCCTGGGTCTCAGAGGCCATGGGAGTGACTCAAGAACCTTATTAGAAGTGCTGTAAAATTCCATTTTGTTTTTCTTTTCTTATTAAATGGATGAATTAGATGCTCTTAAAGATGCATTCCAGTATAAAGATGCTGCAGTATTATGGTCAGCCAGATATTCAGACTGGATTTGGCATTTTTGTCTGCCTTTCAAGTTCTTCCCAAGGACCTGAGATAGGCAGATGTGGATGTTTTATGGTGTTATATGTATCGTCGCAGGATGTAAGCTGTTCCAAGTAAAGCTGCCTTTTGCAATTGACTGATGGTGAATTGGTCAATGCTGATGGTGTTCAAGTGGTGCTCCAGTTGTTTTAGGATTGCATCCAAGGCACCAATGACTTTTGATACTACTTTTGCTTTCTTTTGTTACAGTCATTCTTTTTCTGCTTCAGGTCTTTGTATTTTGTTATCTTCTCCAGTTCCTTCTCTTCTCTTTTGCTGTCTCCAGGTACCTTCAAGTTCACTATCCAGACTTTTTTTTTGTCTTTCTGCAGTATTATGGTTCGTCGCACTGTCAGCCAGATGTTCAGACTGGATGGGGCATTTTTATCCACCTATTGAGTCCTTCCCAAGTTTTTATTAATAGTGAGAGGCCTAGTTTAGCAAACCAGCAATGAGGGAAAAGAGAGAAGAAAAACCCTCTCTTCAACTGAGGCCCATACCTTCAAAACAACTGCACAGCTATTTAAATAGTGAACTGAAATGAGCTGAACTGAATTTTCTCTCCCAGTTATACAGTTGTTGCCACTTTGTCAAGACAAGAGACACTCCTCAGTGATAAGGTTAAGAGGAAATGCCACAAAGAAGAAGTAGTCAAGCTACTTTCCAAGGTGCCTGAAGGCAGGACAAGAAGCAACGGATGGAAACTAATCAAGGAGAGAAGCAACCTAGAACTAAGGAGAAACTTCCTGACAGTGAGAACAATTAACCAGTGGAACCACCTGCCTTCAGAAGCGGTGAATGCTCCAACACTGGAAGTTTTTAAAAAGAGACTGGACAGCCATTTGTCCAAAATGGTGTAGGGTTTCCTGCCTGAGCAGGGGGTTGGACTAGATGACCTCCAAGACCCTTCCAACTTTACTATTATTATTATTATGGATCATCGCACAGTCAGCCAGATGTTCAGACTGGATTTGGCATTTTGTCTACCTATCGAGTCCTTACCCAGGACCTGGGATAGGCAGATGTGGATGTTTGATGATATTACAGATATCGTCGCAGGATGGAAGTTTGATGGTATTACAGATACCGTCGCAGGATGGAAGCAGTTCCTAATAAGGCCGCCTTTTGCAATTGACTAATAGCGAATTTGTCAGTGCCAATGGTGTTCAAGTGGTGCTCCAGTTGTTTTGGGATTGCACCCAAGGAGCCTATTACTATTGGTATTACCCTTGCTTGCTTTTGCCACAGTCTTTCTATTTCTATTTGTAGGTCTTTGTATTTTGTTATCTTCTCCAGTTCTTTCTCGTCTATTCTGTTGTCTCCAGGCACTGCCACGTCCACTATCCAGACTTTTTTGTCTTTCTTATCGACATATTATTATTATTATTATTATTGCTATCACAGCTACCTCCAGGGAATACTTCTTTTTCAGTCTCTGCAGCCAAAGCTAAAATTGAGCTATTGCATTTGTTATTGCAATGGTCCTTTATCCTGACTTTGGATACAAAACCACAATTTTTGTAAACCAGAAAAAAGTGTTGCTACCCACTCTATAGAAAATAAAGTCCCAAATTTTGCGGTCCATTCTCTTTGTGCTCATATTTATCGGCAATACTTTGTATTTTTCTTCTGCTGAACAGCAGGTTGGTGAAGGTTCAGTTCAGCTGCTTGCTCAAATGCATTTGAAATATAATCCTAAATGCCTTTGTGAGAATGTGGTCTCTGATGACTGAATTTATCCATTGTGTTAAATCATCGTTTCCTTAAATAGGGATTTTTAGTCGGGTTTTTACCACACTAACTGTAAGCCATAGATGGCTAAGCACTTGCTAAGCAAAAAACAAACTACATTAAAAAGGCGTGAATCCTGTCAGCGCGTTTAACAGGCTATTGGTTCCAAAATAAAATCCACATTTTAAAATATGAACTACTTGGGAATCTCCCTTTCCTTGGCCTGGAGAGAAAGTTAGAAAGTTCAGACATCGCTTCTGGTGGGATAGCATAATTCTTTCCTCTATTCTAGTTTGGCCTCGCTCTAAACAGCACATACTAATGTTGCTTCCTCCAAGGATTCTCTCAATCTAACCGCATCTTCCTTTTTTTTTTTTTTTTCTGTTTTCCTTTTCATCTTTGGGGAAAATTGATTCATTTAATGACCACAGCCTTTGTTTAATGACCGTAGTGTTTGCTTCAGGACTGACATTCATTTAACAACTGCCACAAAAGTGCCCCCAAAAATCAGGTCCAATCACATGATGCCCCAACTTACAACTGCAACAGGCTCAATTACGGTCATAAGTCGAGGACTATCAGATAAAAGCAGTTTTAATCTTCCTCTGGAGCTGATTTCTTGGAGAGGGCTGAGATACACAGGCAGTAAACTAACAGATAGTAACTGACTGTCCATGAACCTGATAGATAGAATCTTGGGCCAAATAAAGTTTTACCTACTTTGTTGTTGCTGTTGTTAGTTGCGACATCCTGTCCGACCCATCATGACCCCATGGACAATGTTCCTCTAGGCCTTCCTCTCCTCTACC